GAGGAAGCAGGAGAGGACTGAGGCTGGGATAGTGGTCACAAAGGACTTTATCTCCAATGCAATTTTTTTAAAATAAGGAAATGATATGTATACATTAGTTACATGGTTGTTAAAGAAAGAGAGGAAGCACAAAGAGGAGGCAGAAAATGAATCAAAGGTAGCAAATGGAATGGCCAGACATGAGCCCAGGCACAGACAGGTCAAAGCACAGTTAAGGAACTGGTTCTGCAGATACACCCTGTCCACTGCAGTGTTCCTCCAACGTGTTTTTCAGCATACTTGGCAGGCCCAGAAGTGTCCTTAAAGGAACCAAGTTTTGCTGGAAGAGTGGCCACTGCAGACAGGGTTGGTGAAAGGCCAGCAGAAGGAAATAGGGTCAGCAAAGCAGTGGCTGACTAGTGTCTGGGTGTGGTGTGGTGAAGATTAGGTTTAGGCCAGAGCTGTGGTTGGCTAGAAAGAGGTCTAGTCAAATGAGCAGGAGATGTCAGTAGAATTCATAGACAAGGCAGGCTGGAGGGTTTGACCAATGGGTACGTGTCCTGGGTACATATTAGGCAGGAAAGGCTACAGAGCCAGAGCTAGCAAATTTCAGGGATCATTGTCAATGTATTTCTTCATTTTCATGGGTGATGGAAATACCTGCTGCTTTTTACCTTGGACAGTTCAAATTTTTTGTCTAGTCAGTCCTGTTGTAAGTTAATGCTCTGACCCTTAAATTCTCTTGATTTTCTCCCTGATTCTCATCAGTACTGTCAGGTTCTTCCTCTACTTGGAGTATTTACTAGCTTAAAAAATAGCTTCACTATCTTTTTATTCCAATGCACTTTACACATCACTGCCAAATTAATTTTCTTAAAACATTACTTGCCTCTTATTAATTCATTTAATTAAGAAATGGCAATGGTCCTCTTTTGCACACAGTCATCAAACTCCTCTTTTTGTTCTAAAAGCTGTAAGTAATGTGAACCATGCCCTTCTTAGCTACCATTAACTTCTACTCCACCCACAATTTGCATCATCAATTCCTCAGAGCATTGGAGTTCGGTTCCCAAGTACACTTCTGCAAAAATATAGAAGGTCAATTGTAGACATCAGATTAGTCCTTTGGTACACCTACTTCCCAATGTGGCTTCAAATCATGTAAACTATTATCATCCAGAGAAAATTGTTAGGTTTTTCTCTGCTGTTCACATATTGTTGTCATTCCTTTTCTAAACCAAGGGAACCAGACCATTCATCCTACTTTCATGACCTTAACCACAATACTTTCATACTTGCCTGTTCCTTATCTTCAATTCAGGCCGAACTCTTTATGCCTTTGCTCCTGCTATTAGCCAACCCCTTAAAAGTTGTCCCACACTCTTCCATCTATCCAGATCCTACATATACTTAATTCTTTTTCTTTTTAAATTTTAATAGATTTATGTGGCACAAATTAAATTCTGTTACATGCATATATTGTATAGTGGTGAAGTTTTAGTCTTTAGTGTACCCATCACCCAAATAGTACATCATACCCAATAGGTAATTTTTCATCCCTCCCCACTTCTCACACTCCCCCTTTTTGAGTCTACAGTTTCCATTATACCACTCTGTGTATCCTTGTGCAGCCATAGTTTAACTCTCACTTATAAGTGAGAACATGTGGCATTTACTTTTCTGTTCCTAAGTTACTTTACTTAGGATCCAAGTTGCACTCCATGGTGTGTGTGTGTGTGTGTGTGTGTCTGTGCATGTGTGTGTATCACATTTTCTTTATCCACTCATTGACTGATGGGCACTTAAGTTGACTCCATATCTTTCTAATTGTGAATTGTGCTGTGATAAACATATGAGTGCAAGCATCTTTTTGATATAATGATTTCTTTTCCTTTGGGTAGATACCTAGTAGTGGAATTGCAGGGAGATCCTACATATACTTTATTACCTATCTTAGGTTCCATGTGTATCCTTTTTAATAACCTTAGCCTACAGAGACTGACTCATCTCTAAATTCCTACAGTATTTAAATACAACAGAAAGTAACATTATTATATATTTTATTAATCCTCACAGTTTCAAGTCTGTATATTTTATCTTCTTAAGTGTAAGTACCCTAGAAATAAGAATGTCTTTACTCTTATCATATCATCTCTTGTCATTAACACTATACCTTGTGCATAGTAAACATTCAATAAGTTTTAGATGATGGATTTATTTGATGTATCCTGTACTTTTGCACAATGATTCTTTACATATTAATCAGGCTCTTTGGGTTGCAAATGATAATAATCCAAATAAAACTGATTTAATTTAAAAGGGAAATTTTTGGTTCTCCTAACTGAAATTTCAGATATAGTTCAAATTAAGTAATATCATTAAGAATCATCATTGTTTTTCCATCTCTCTGTTATGATCCTCTGGGTTGAATCTCCAGCAGTCTGTTGACCATGAATGGCAAAAGTGGCTACCAGAACAGGCTTTCATCTTACCAGCCTACCAACTCAATGGAAAGAAAAAGGTTGAAATATATGAAATTGTCATTTATGTAGGTCAAAAATGGTTGAATAATTGCAATTTCATAGGTTTCAACCTGACAGTTCCAAGGCTATGGTTCAGCTTAGATTTCATACCCATTATTAAGCAGATTATTGTGGTCACTGGAATGTAGTACTCTTATTGGCTAATCCTGAGTCATATGCCTACCCACAGAGCCATGTGGACAAAGAGTGATAGAGGACTGATTTCTCAAAGGAAATTTAAGGTGCTATTATCAGGAAAAAAATAGTAAAAACTGAGTAAGAAAAACACTAGATGTCCATTATGCATATAAGAGACACCAAATTTACCATGAAGGTGATAAAGCCTAAACTTCAGGGAGCCTCACTTGTATAGGCCATTTAAGATCATACATCTAATTTTATATTTAAGTTTTTATATTCTGTTTCTTAAAGAGGGGCCTCCAAATTATATAAGCTTCAGGACCAACAGTACCTAGATCTGCCCCTAATAACAACACTAAAAAATATTTGTTAAATTAGTAACTAAATGTTCCCAACATATTCCTTCCTGTTTTTAGTGGAAATAAATCATTTATTAGATAATTTATTCACTAAATTCTTCACAATAACTTAATTTCTTATATTGTGACATTAACAGAAATAACATGCCCTTCAGATCTCCCCAATTTTTAGAACCCAGTATCTTAAGGTATTTTTTTCTGTCTCTGTCCTAGATCGACTCAGCTAAGACCTTTTTCTTATTTTTTTCACCTCTTTGAACTTTACTCCCAGATGAAACCTGCCTCTCAGGGTCACCTTTCATGAGAGGTCAAGTTTGAGGTGATCATCTTGGGGTCCCACTGTGGTTCCTTATAGAAGCAATATGAAGAATATTGGAATGAATTTAGGAAGTGACTCTTGTCAAAGCCATATACCTGTAGGAGACCCACTGTCAGGGATGTACCAAAATTGGGTGTGAGAATCCAGAAAATGTGCCCTTGTTGTTGAAATTTCCAACTACACTTTACCCTTCTACTTGGCAGTCAGACAGCCTCAGGAATGTAAATTCATGCCATTTCAAATGTGGGGGAAGGTGAGGGAACTAAGCCTGCCTGCTGCTATTCTGATTACAGCATTTGTCACTGGGAGAGACAGCTCTGGGATTGATGCTTTTTCTCCCCTCTCAGGAAAATGGCTTGGGCTGTGCATCAGGGAAGGCCAAGGGGCACCTACAAATGACAATTTCCACTTAATCCCCCAGCAGGTTTCCGAGTCTATAGTCCTTCAGATGTTGCATTACATTTGACCTATTTTATTCCTCCTTCCCCCCCCCCATTCCCAGCTCCTGCAAGATATATGGCATAGAAACAGGGCAGTGCAATTGTGTTGCTTTTTTCTTTTAATTTGTTGAAATTGTCTCTAGGCAGAAGAAGAGGGTGGGTAGTAACCAGATGGTTGTAGCTGTAGTAGAAACCTACTACTGAGGAGCTTTGAGATGCTCAAATCTGATGGAAGTCGCTATTTCCCTGTAGGGAAAGGAGATGAAACAATAGAGCAGTGGCAAAAGATTTCCAGCAGACTGATCTCCAGCGTTCTGTCCTCTCCACCCTACATCCAAATCCACACATGTAAAAGGCAGCCTCTTTTTCTTTAATTCTCCAAAGCACAGCCAGCCATGGACTATAGCAGACTTTTCTTGAAAGTTGGGCAGAAGATGGGAAGATAAGCTAGTGGTCATGAAAAGTTTATAACACAGGACTTAAACCATTTTACTCATCCTTCTTTAAAGCCACTTAGCCTGTTACCTTCCTCCTCACCATCCTCACCACTCACCAAATCCTAGGCACCTGGTGTATCCCTTAGCCTTTTTGTCTTCTAATGCATATGAAGTAGAGAAAAAATTGAGACTGAGGGAAAGAGGAATAGTCAGGGACCTGGCTAAGGATTAAGCTCTTATATTTGGAGAGATTCAGGCAACAGGAGAGCCCTTTCATCCATGTCTCTGGGCTATCTAAACTAGAGGCTAGCAGCATACAGAGGTCTGGGAGTAGAGGCTGATGCCTTCCTCTTCCCCCTTACCCTCCCACCTTGCCACCCCCCACCCTACCCCCATCTTTGATAGGGAAAACTGACTCTCAGTCTTTTGTGGGTTACTATGTAAATGTAGTTGAATGCATATTCAGGTATCCACCTGTTAGTGGTTTTTTTCCTCCCCAACCAAATGCATGGTGTCTTTTCCATCGGCTAGGTGTCCTACAATTCAGTTCATTCCTGGCACTAACTACCTCGAGTTAGCATCAGACTTACAGGTTTAAGGGCTCAGTCCCACAAGATTGCCTTTACTTCAGAGACCAGTCATAAGCATGGGGTCCCCAGGTTACCCACTCTTCTGTCCAACTTGGCTACAAATTTGGGGGTTCCTATAACCACCCTCTCAGGTTTGAAAATTTGCTAGAAAGACTCACAGAACTCAGAAAAGAGCTTTACTTACTATTACCAGTTAATTATAAAGGATACAACTTAGAAATAGTCAAATGGAAGAGATACACAGGACAATGTATAGAGGAGGGGTGTGCCATCCTTCCAGCACCTACATGTCTTCCCCAACCAGAAGCTCCCCAAACGTCATCATTGTTTAAAGGTTTCTATGGAGATTTATTTATGTAGGCATAATTGAGTAAATAATTGGCCACTGGTGATTAACTTAATCACTAGCCCCTCTCCCTTCCCTAGAAGTTTGAGGGTGGGGCTGAGTTCCAAATTTCTAATCAAGGCTTGGTCTTTGTGGTGACAAGATACTGCTATAACCCTATAATTTCCAAGATACTCCTATAACTCCTATAATTTCCAAGATACTCCTATAACCCTTATAATTTCCAAGGGTTTTAGGAGTTCTGTGCCAGGAACTAGGAACAAAGACCAAGCATCTCTCTTATTACAGCACCCTATTATATTTATCTATCTTATAAAAAAGTGATTAGGCCACCCTCCTTAGGGTATTAGCCTTCTTGGCTATTTCTAGCTCTCCCTTTCTATGTACTCTTCATATCCCCTTAACAGATTGACCAGAAATGTCTGATTTGTTCTTCATTAGGCTTTTCAACACATAACTAGTTCCTCTGTGGCAGACTGCTTTATTGCTCCCCTCCAAACAAATCATTCCTGAGAACAAGCATTCTCAGAACATTAAACACCCACACCATACCCTCTTTCTCCCAGAAGGATCTTAGCAGGATGTCAGTGGTGAGGGTGAACTTAAATGGCTGAGGACCTCACCCTGCTCTTTTCATGCAAACCTCCTCCTACTTTCCTGGTCCACCTGCCTTGGCCTCTGAGTTACTGATATCTGACAAAGGAGAAGAGAGTCATTTTGAGTGCCCAGGGAGGGCTGTTAGAGCTTACTAGTTCAAATCTCTACTGGGAAACTCTCAGAGCTACATCCTGAGACCCTGAAATGCAAAACCAAGAGCTTTACTAGTTGAATGGGATGGGCAGGAGGGCCAGTCTGAGTGAATGCCCCCGTGCATTTTGCCTAACTCCCCTTCCCCACTTAAAGCAAGACAAAATAAAAACAACCCAAGGAAACAAAGCTTTCCTTTTAGGTTATCAAGAGAGCTCCTTTTTGACGCAAAAACCTCACTCCCTCCTGTGGCCCCAGACGGTCTCAGTCTTAGTTGGTGAGGGCCTCAAGCCCACATCGGTTTATCGAAATCCGTGTTTAGGTCCCAGCATGTGGCAATGTGCTCCACTCTGATGACACTTTTCGTTTCTAATAATAGAGCAGATGAAGTAATATTGCAATTGATGTTCCCAGGGATTTGATTGGATAAGTGCATAAACCGTGGATGGAGAAGAAGATTGTATGGACGGATCACATTAGTATTCCCGTCCTATCAATGTGCGGGCCAGCGAGCAACGTCAGCCGGACCGATTCCTTGCGTCTGCCAGTCCCACCACGGCTTCATTTGGGATCCTCAAACAGACAAGCCCTAGAGACGAGGGATCGAGGCAGCCGATTAGAGCCAATTGCCTGCTTCGGGGACGGCCAGCCCTTCCAGGCCTGGCGACAGTGGAGGGAGGGGAAAGACCAACCGAGCACCGCTGCGGGAAGACACTGAAGCAAGAGCGACACCCCGTTCCGCCCCCCACCTTGCAGCGCAGGCTTTGAAAGCTGCTCCCCCACCTGAATGGAAACTCGGAACCGCCGGGCGGCGCGTTCCTTCTCGCCCAGCCTTGCAATCCATGCCGAGAGGAAGGCGGTGCGAGTCCGCGCCAGCGCCCAGCTCCCGGGACAGGGCCGGCAATGCTGCTGAGCAGAACTTGATCGCGCCCCTTCCTCGCTGCTAGTGGAAGCGATGCTGCACGGCACAGCCAGCGCTTCCCCGGCTCTCCTTCAAGCTGAAGGTTACCGACCCGCGCAGCCAGTCCCAACCCTGTGAACCGCGCGCCTCGGGTCCGGCTCCGGCTGCTTGGCGGCGGCGCGCAGGGCAACGACCGGGCCGCCCGCGCCGGGGCGCACTGCACCAGCGGCTTCGGCTTGGTGGATGTGTATGCATGAGTTCTGCACCGAATGGGCGCAAAAAGCGCCCCAGCCGGTCCACCCGCTCCTCGATCTTCCAGATCAGCAAGCCCCCGCTGCAAAGCGGGGATTGGGAGCGCAGGGGCAGCGGCTCCGAGAGCGCTCACAAAACCCAGCGAGCCCTGGACGACTGCAAGATGGTGGGTAAAAACTGCGCCTCTTTTTCTTTTTTTATTTTGAGAGGGGGTGGGGGGAGTCGTGTATGTTAATCATTTGCATGAGTGCCAGCCACTCCCCCACCCTCAGCTCCTCCATGCCGATCACGTGCACAGGCACTATTTTTAAGTCTGCAGTCCCCCAGATTCGGGGTGACACCCGGGTCGTAATGGCCCTGCGGAGAGAAGTGCCACAGCAAGGGTCTCGGGGGTCAGCGGCTGTAGGTTGTACTTCTGCCTGCTCAAAGAAGAATGGTGGATGCAAAAGACACGATGAACTGGCTCGCTGACCAGGGAGGGACGGAATGGGGAGGTGGAGGTGCAGTTTTGTGGGGAGACAGTAGCAAACAAACCAAAACAGAGAGCACGGGGCGCTGCGGAGGGGACGAAGGTTCCAGCGAGAGGCTATGGCTGGTCTTCCAGGCAGGCTTCACAGCAGGAGAGGTTCAGTTGCCCGATAGGAGATGAATGGTTTGCCTATCTCACCCCACTTTTGGTCTACCTCTCCCCCACCCCCACCCCACCCCTGCAACTTCGAATTCATATCCTAGCAGCAGCTGACGGGAGCGTCTTCGGGAGAGTTCCCAGCATCATTCTCTGTTGACCTGGGAGTGGCATGATCACTCTCCAAATAAGCTCTTGCTCTTCAGAAACTGAGTCTGAATGGGTGGGGGCAAGTAGGTCTGGAAATAGAGCTTCCATGCCCAGGCTTGCCGATGAGAAAAAAACACATACCTTGGACACAGAGACTTGCCATGTTCGTGCTGTAAGCTTTAAACAATTACTAGGCTCCTTGGCTGAAGATTTGGGGAGCTGGAGATTTGCGGAAGTGGCTCAGGGGTCAGTGAAAGCCCCTGTTTATGTACAACGAAATAGGAAACTTTCTGATGATAAATGTTTGGTGACAGAAACTCGCTTCTTTTACAGCTTGTCCAAGAGTTCAACACGCAAGTGGCCCTGTACCGAGAGTTGGTCATTTCTATTGGGGACGTCTCAGTCAGCTGCCCCTCACTAAGGGCGGAAATGCACAAGACCAGAACCAAAGGATGTGAAATGGCCCGTCAGGCACACCAAAAACTGGCTGCCATCTCAGGGTAGGAGACTCTTGGCATTATGTGGTTAATTCCTATACATGATGCATGGATGCTGATAGAATTTTATGTGGCCAAGGCCTCAGAGATGATCTCTCCAAATGTGAGGTTTTAACCAGTCACCCTGAGGTCGGTATCTCCAGAGAGCTATACTCAAACTATAGGCCACACCATAATTTGAAGGCTGTGAGATTCATGTGTGTATACACACACACACACACACACACACACACACACACACATGATTTATGTATGATTTGGAATCTTTCAGTGATCTTTTAAAAAGCAATTTCTATTATACTGACCACATACTGGAATTTGGAGATTAAGATTTGGGGGGATGTTTGGGCATCAAACTGAAATTAAATCATCATGCCTCAAGATTATTTTGTCATCTGCTGCTGAACAAAAGGCCTGTGCTATAGAGAGAAAAATCTTTGCTAAATCCCAGATTTACTATTTATACCACGAGATAAATTCCTATGATATTGCCTAAAATAAAATCCCTAAAATAAAGTCTTGGATATAAATTACTCTCTTCACTGTAGCGATATGGAAGGGTAAGTTTAAACATAAGAAACAATTTTTGCAGATTGGAGAAATTCACAAATCTTGGTAAACCTAAACTGCTTTTGTCCACCCATTTTTTAAATTATATTTATGGATTCCTAAGCCTATGTTAGGTAACAACAGTGAGTGAAAACTTCGCTCCTAGGACCCCACCTACTCCTTCTTGATCTCCTAATATTGGGAGAAAAGTTAACCATGGATTTTGTTATCAGTTCCTATTTTCAAGATAAGTACTTAGGGAGCAAGGAAACACAGAAATCCTTATACAAATACATTAGTTTAAGTGTTTGGTTCAATCTGGATATAGCCTTTATCTGTTTATCTGTGTGAGTATGACCTTATCACAATAATAGTTCAAATTAGTCAGACTCACCTGATAATGTCGCAGATTGATCACATGTAGGACTTGCATATTATTTACCTATTTGAAAGAATCACCATCTTTAACACCAATAATATACATAGTGACTATTACTGGTATATAAAGATTAGAAAGCCATATGTTGTCTCTCTTAATAATTAGTTTACGTTTCACAACAGGCATTTTAATATCATGAAAAAGATACTGTACTAGTCTCTTTGAAGAGAGGGATAAACAAAATATGTTACGAACCTACTTTATTTAGTAAATATTGAGAAGCCTTATCCTTTTCTGTTTTAACTAATATACTGCACTTGACAGGAAAAGAATCTGGGAAGTGGAAGGGAATTAAGTGTTTCAGGAGTTTGGGGAAGAAATGTAGCCATAATAAATCCCAGATAGGGGAGAAAAAACAATAAGAAACATGAAGGGGAATAGTGGTGAATTTTAAAGTATAGAGAAACAATGATTCAGAAGGAAAAGCAGGTTTAGGACAGGAAATTTTATGCTCAGGGCTAAGGGGTAGCATCTCTGTAAACTGTGGTCAAGAGTGCAGGGTGGAATTATATTTAGGATCCCTTTAAATTGGAACTCAAAAGGAGAACATGTTCTAATCAGAGAAGGTGAACTGTAGAAACAAACGAGGAGTTCAAGTCCATCTACTTTGCTACACACATGAAATTTAGATTCTTCTAAAGGTTCATGGAAGAAAGGTTCTGAAATTATTGGCTAAAAGTTGAGTTTTGAGGATTTGAGGAGGATTTTTTTTTTTCTTTTTTTTGAGACAAGCCTCTCACTGTTTTGCCTAGGTTGGTCTTAAGCAGTCCTCCTATCTCAGCTGCCCCGAGTAGCTGGGACTACAGGTGTTTACCAAACCGTACCTGGCCTGAGACGGATTTTATTTACTCAGGGGTTTGTAGCCCTTTGCTTCTTGCTTAATGTGTTGTCTGAGGGCTGATGTTATGGGGCAGTTTTATAAGAATTAACGGGAAACTGAAGTATTCTCAGAGCCTCGCAAAGGGAAGGCCAATCCCATAAAATGTTCTAGGATAGAATTTGACCCACTTTCTCACTTAAAATAATAATTAAATGCAGTTTAATGTTCTTTATAAAAAATGACAGCAATATAATTGAAGGAAATCCCTTTAGTTTCTCACCATCTGGGCTCCATTAATGAAGGATGTGATTCCCTTTGGCGGAATTCCGTTTCTGATACTGCTTGTTATGTGGGTTCTCATTTCAAGCTTGATGTGAAGACTGGTAAGGAGACCGGTGGATTCACTTTAAAGTTTAGAGCAGAGGTGAGAAAAGCAAAGGTTTTGGGGAATTTAGAGAGAAGGACTGGATTTCTTAGGTCCCCACTCTGTGCCATCACAATCTAGTTATTTCATAGAATAGTTCTCGGAGGGAGGGATCATTATCCTTATTCTACAAATAGGTCCCAGAGAGATTAAGGAACTTGCTCAAAGTCACACGGCTAAGAAGTGGCACAGCTTTGATTCAGCCTCATGTTTGCACCGCTTTTGAAATTCATGCTCTTTCCTCTCTATAACACAGCCATTCAAAAACATGTCATGTAAAAAGGAACAAAGTACTGATACGTGCTAAAATATGAATGAACTTTTAAAAGGGTTTGCTAACTGAAAGAAGCCAGTCACAAAATACCACATACTATATGAATCCATTTACATGAAATGCCCAGAAAAAATATATCTATAGAGACAGAAAGTGGATTAGTGGTTGCCTGGAACTGGAGGTGGGAACAGATAGCCACTGCAAAGGAGCTCAAGGAATCATTTTGGGGTGAGGGAATTGTTTCAGAATTGGATTGTGATGAGGGTTGTAGAAGTCTGTATATTTATTAAAAATCACAAAATTGCACACTAAGAATGAGTGAATGTTATGCTATGTAGAGTATATACCTCAATAAATTTTTAAAAAGGTATTATCACCATCACTATGATTAATACTTGATCTTTTGTTGGCTTTATTCTTTTCTATACATGCAGCTTTTATTGAAAAGTATGAGCCCTAGGAATGAGAGAAAAATAAAACTTGGCTGTCTACACATGCATCAAGGTGCCACCTCATAGCTATCACCTAAGCACCAATGCTCTGTGTAGGAACACAAGTGGGGGAAAGGCAGGACGTGGAGTAAGTGAATTCACTCATTTTTTATCAGTTCAGACTGACTTTTCCTTATCTACCAGCTGGCTTTGGGGCCAGAAGAGGGAGAGAGATTTGAAAGGGGACAGGGTAAAAGGAATGAGGCAAGACAGAGAAGAAGAGAAAAAACAATGAGCTAAATCAAATGAACCGCAAATGCTACATCCCTTTCATCCCTAAGCAGTTGAAAACCTCAAGGAATGGTGTTGATCACAAGAGAAGGAAACTCAGACTGTGTTCTTCACTAACCGGCCCTGCGTAAGAAGGCCATCTTCACCAACACAATCAAAACACTTTCTCAAATTGTGTTTAGATCAGCAGAGTTCGGGCACAGCCTTTTCTTTCAAAGGCATCGGATATCTGTCGCTGGTCAGACCTAGCCAGATGAATCCAATGTCTCTCCTGACTGGCATCATTTACCAAAGTTATTATACCTTTGCCACTCTGATCTTCTCCTAGATATTAAAGCTAAGAGTGGTCTTAAAGATCACTTGTCAGAATGGTCCCCAAACTTTTTTTTGTGGCAAATCTTCCCTTCAAAGTGAAGAGAACTGTATTTATAAGGAAGGTCAAAGTGGCATCGTTCTGCACTGCTGGCAGGTGTGTGTGTGTGTGTGCGCGCGCGTGTGTGTGTCCGTCCTCGTGTGCATATCAGGAGCAGGCAGCAGCCTGGGCCCTGTCTGCCTGGACTTCTTTTCCCAAATGACTTCTGAGACACCTTGAAGAGTCCCCAGGGCTCCATGGTACTTTATATTTGAGGAGTCTGAGATTCAGAGGATTTAAGTGACCTTGGAGGCAACGTGCTAGAATACACGTGAAGATATTGGAGTCAGACTGGGGCTGAATTTCATCCTCAGTGACCTTGATGGAATTACTTAACTCTCTGAATCACAGTTCCTTCGTCTGTAAACTAGTTGTCATGCCTGATCGTGAGGCAGTCGAGAGGATTAAGTGAGCTAGGTATGTGAAGCAGGGACCGCATGCCCAGCCTGTCTGATGGCACCCCTGGCACTCTGCCAGTCCGAGGCCGCTTAAGACTGGAACCTGGGTCTCCTGCTCCCTGTTCCAGTGCCTGTCCCGTCAGCCACACCACCTCCTAAGAGTGAAGAGCGAGCAGCACGGCACACAAGATAGGGATGACTCAGAGGGGCTGACACCCTCGGCCGGCATCTTCTGGAGTGAATGCCGTGGCTGGTATGCTGGTGGCCAAGATTCCCTCTCCTGTGCTGCTTCTGTGGGGTACGTGTTGGAATGCATCTCTCTCACACTGCTGAGTAGAGTCAAAGTATAGAATTGTTTACTCCAGATCGTAAAAAATGAGGTTTAAATACAATAACATGAGAGACAGCAGTGTGATGGGAAAGAGCATTGACTCTAAATCAGATTAGACCTGAATAAAAGCTTGGCCGGACCACTTCCAAAGGACACGTGTGAATTCATACACAGACTGCGTGTGAATGTGGTAAGTGGCAGTCTGGGACATTGGTTAAGTACATAGACTTTGGGGCTAGACAGGCAGTGCTGGTATTCATAGGTAGTATGAAATTGGGAAAAGATATCGTCTCTCTCTGCCTCAGTTTGTCAATCAGCCAAATGGGGTTAATACATAATGGGACCAAATTATATGGTATTGTGAAGATCAAGTACTTAGGAAACTCTCTAGAATACATTAAATGCTATTTTTAACGGGTTAGTGTTAGCATAATTATTAAGACATTTAAAAATTCATATTTTCAACATATATTTATATTAAAAAGATATTAATCCATCAAATATTTTTCACATAAATATTTTGGCTAGAATAAATTTTTCTTTACCTTGGTTTCTTATGTTCTGAGAAATTTTCCAGGTTGAAGTTTCCCAGATGGCTATCAAAAAGCCTGTTTTTGAAAATCTTAAAAATGAT